GAAATAATTATTCAATTTTTTTAATTAACATAATAAGCAAAAGTTCTACATTAACAATAAGTAAATTTTTTATTGTATTAGTCAATCTTCGTAATTGACTAACAATAAATTTATATACATGTGATAACTGATGATTCTTCGCGGTTATCATATAAATATTTTATTATAAAATTTAAAAATGCACGAACAGAATTAGTATGAAATGTGCGCGCGCATGGGGATTAATTCAAAACTAAGTATATTATTATTTTCAAAATAACCATATGCCTGTTATTTTGAGAATATTTTAATGTTAATTTGAGGATATTTAAAAAATATGAATATTATTAAAATAAAAACTAAATTTCTCTATAATAAACATTAAAGTTATTGATATCATTAATTTTCAAATTAAGTTTATTTGAATTTTAAATACAGCGAAAATAAATGAAAATGATAGAATAAAGATTCGATTTAATAAATTTAAGAAACTCAGTAAAATTATTAAGCTTAATTAATTCGAGGACTAATTCTAACTTTCAACTCTGGAACATTGTTAGCCGATAAAGAATGAATTTTTAATGGCCATGCATGTTCACTAACTCAACATTATAATATCTGTAAACTAATGACATCCATAAAAGTAGCTGAGTCATAGCCAGTTTCCTTCCAGGGCAGATTCGTAAACCACCACCAAAAGTTACCAAGGAATATTTGTCTTTTAATCTTTTATCATCTTGGTCGATATTATAAAATCTATCTGGATCAAAAACTTCAGGATTAGGCCAAACCTCAGGGTGGCTATGTAACCCTGAAATATTTATGTGAAAAAGTGTACCAGAAGCCCATTTATATCCTGCAATTTCACACTCTTCAGTCATGTGACGAGTTATAATATTTGTTACGGGAATCATACGAAGGGCTTCATTAATTATGGCCTTACAATATTTCAATTTTAAGAGATCATCTCTTGTCAGATAAGATAGATTAGAATATTTAGAGAATACAGAGTCAATTTCTGAAATCATTTTTTGTTTTACATTTAGATGTTTACAAACATAGTAGGTTATAGAGCAAAATGTGTTGGCAGTCTAAACGGTAATAAAATTAGCATAAGTAAATTATAAATAAATAAATAAAGAAAATATTACTTACACTATCTGATCCACCCCCGAATGCCTCTAACAAATTACTTCGGATCTCTTCGTCAGGCATAGGTTTATACGTCATACCGTCCACTGTTTTTATTTTAGCAGTATCAGTATCCTTTTCGGTGTTTAAAGTGATTAAGGAAGTCAGCATATCGGATCTCATTTCTGTACCCACTGGCATTGCTTCAATCTTCTCGATCCAATCTTTCATATATATAATCACGGTTTTTTAAGTAAAAATTTGCCATATCTTTAATTATTGGAACGTAATGCCTTAAGAATTTGCTAACCAACATGAAGAACGTGAGAGCTTGGATGTGGTCTACTAATGTTTTGACAAATTTATTCTCATCTTCAACCAGATGCATCAGAATATTCATGCTTGACAGCACTTTGCATGTTATAGTAGGAGGCAATAGAATATGTGCGTTCACTGGTGACTATTACTGAAATAATTTCGTTTGCAAATGCATGAAACCATTTAGCAAAATCTGTTTCTAAAGTCCAATTATTGTTGTCATTTTTATTTGGAACATTTTGCATTCCAAGAGACTGCCAGCACCACCTCAATTCTTCAAACAATTTATTTATAGACTTTACAGTGTAATCCCTAAATCTAGGTGACATTAAAACATGATCAAAGAACTGTCTGTTAAACCTCCAAATTTCATACACATCATTGCCGGCGATTCCATGTTTACTAAATCCGAATTCATCCAGACCCTGATAATATGGCAACCTTCTTGCACATGTTGACATAAGTTTTTCAATATATTCTGGTCGTGAGAGAATTATGCATCTAGATCCATCAACCATTATTTCGCAGATATCTCCATAATTTGGTCGGCATTTACAATAGAACGATCTTACATCGTAAA